TTTGCTCATTAGGAAGGTAAACGAGTGTAGTATGGCATGTGTCGGTCATTTACAGAAGCTCGATAAGATATCCTCTTCTCTGAACGAGTTCCAAGTACGAGTCTTAACAGCGTCGTCTACAATTCTGCCATGGCTGTGATTCTGCAGTTAGTAGTTATATGCACATACGTTACGGCATAAGATTCTGAGGATTGTACATGCGACACGACAGCCAATTGATATGTTTATTTTAACTAAATTTTATGTCTTGGGTACATGCGAGTGAAAATGAAAGTGAAAGAGTGCCTTATATAAGGTGTCTTGCAGTGTGCTTACCACCCGGAGCGGTTACCCTTAATAGAACTCTTTGGGAACACTTTATTGAGGTTTTGTTCCGCATTCAGAGCAAAGTATATGATGTTGTGCATGCGAGGCTGTGTAATCAAAGGTATTGTGTGTATATTTTGGATCTAATACCCATATAAAGAAAGAGATTTTGATTTTATTTTAATTGTTCCTTGATTTTCTATATTTTACCTACCTTTTTAAACAAATTCAATTCTAAAAATATATATTAATAATAATCATTAACTTGATCAATATATACAATTGGATATGAACACGATTAAGATATAAACGGGTCAAAATCAGAAAAAAACTGCATCATTCCTTGATATGAAAGCGGCAAGGTCCTTCTCATAGCTCTACATTCGTCTATAATCAAGTACATAATACTATAGGTGGCTCCTTTTTTTTTTTTTTTTTTTTTTTTTTTTTTTTTTTTTTTTTTTTACAGAATCGCGGTTCAGGAAGACAAAATAGCAGATGCTGTACTGGCAAATATAAGATATCTTTTTTTATGAAAGCGTATGTATGTACGCTGGCATACATACACAATACTACCTGCTAAAGATTTTTTGCGAATCTATTTTTCCTGGTGTTTAAATATCCTTTCAAAACACACTTTGTGATGTCATGCAGAAGATTAAGCAAGTTGTTGTGATCATGGCTGGTACTGGAATTACTAAAGTTTAATGGTCCTGTCAGTGGGGGATACATTCATAATTCATTCGAACTACCTCTTATTGTCATTGGAAGGTGAAGTCTGAAATATGTACATGATGTGTTATCTATATGTCTACTTAATGGAACAACGAAGGGAAGGGTAAGGAAACACACGAATATGCCGAAGGCCTTTTCACTATTGCCCTGACGAAGCAATAGTGAAAAGGCTTTCGGCATATTCGTGTGTTTTCTTGCCCTTCCCTTCGTTGTTCCTATTGCAATCTGTTCAACATGAATTCCACACATGTCTACTTAAGTCTACCCTATATCAGGTTAAGGACTTATGATGATGGACTTTGCTGGTCAACGACATATCTGCGTTGAGTATATTGTGTTATCTATCACTGCGTTTCTGTTTATCATTACTGCTCAAAATTAAAATTCGTCACATCCTGCAAATTATTTATAAAGAATAAATCACATAATTCATAATGGTACATTTTATTGTTAGAAAAAAATTATATACAAAGATATAATGAATACCGTTGACTGGCCAGTTTGCAGGTTAAACCAGCGTGACAGCGGAATTTCCTGCTAACGACATAGCAGCTTGTTGGGCGTGGGCGCGGGCGTGGGCGGACTTGACCTGGCCACGCGAGCGTGTCCTCGACGAGGTCAGAGGCGGCCACCCTGAAGCCAGAACCGGGGGCGGCGGCGTACTTCCTCACCTGGACGTCCCCCTCGGGGTCCACGTAGGCGAAGCTGCCGGAGGTACGACCCAAAGAGTCCCTGGTCTCCACGCGGGTGTTGGGGCCGCCGTAGTGGCCGAAGGTGTACTGGCCGGCCTCGTCCTGGCGTGGAATTGGCCTCCCACGTGAGGGACGCTGAGGGAGGGCATGGGGGTTCAGGGGCCATGAGGGGCTCAGGCGCTGCCACTACAGTGACGGGGACAGCGCTCTTGACCACAGGGGCAAGTGCCACAGGGGCAGCAGGAGCCACAATGGCTGCACTCTTGACCAGCGGGGCAACAGGGCCACAACCAAGGGCAGCTCAACGACGGTAAGGAAGGGGCGGCCTTCACAACAGGGACAGGGACAGGGGCGGCCTTCACAACGGGGACAGGGGCAGGGGCGGTTAATACCATTCCCAAGTTTACACCTGGTTCAGGAATCTTCATAACAGCCGGAAGGTTCCACTGTGGACTGGCCACAGTTCCTGCCACCGTCTGGTAAAGCTGCGGAGCCGCGGAGCATGTTGCTGCCAACAGTGATAAAACCTGCAAAGAAAATGTTAGATAAAAAGCATATCAGTTGCATCTAAAGGAAATCATAAGGGAACAGTATAAGATATCAAAATATTTGAACAAGAATAACAACACATATAGCCAAGACACATTCCATGAATATGCTCCATTTTGACAAAGCAATCCCGATCTTTACTAACAATGAGTTTCATTTTGTGTCGCTGGGGAGGTCGCGGACGGAGGTCTCTCTGGACTGGACGGAGGAGGTTTGGGAAGGTCGTCCGAGAATCTCGCCTTTTATACCCGCTCGTCTCGACCCGTGACCACGCCCTCCATAGCGCCAGATGCAGGACTTTTTTTCTCCAAAGGTTTGTCGTTTTGGTTTTAGTACGATTGTAATATTTTTGTTTTGTTTTGTTTTGTTTGGGCTGTTAACATTATGATTGGCTGTCTGCATTTATTATGGTTTATGTATTTTTTCACTGTTCTTGTTACACTGACATCTGTATTAATGTCATTAATCATTGTTATTACGATCATCATTACTATAAAGAAATATTGTTATCATTATTATCATCATTATTATTATTGTAATCATTATTGATATCTCACTCATAATCATTGCTATTATTATCATTATCATTACTACAGTTCTCAGTATGATGATAATAACAAGAATTATTATTATCATTAATGTCAGTATCATCATTGCTATCATTATTATCATCGCTATTATCTATATTTCTATGATGAACATTTCATTATCATCATAATTATTATCATAACTGTAATCATCTTCATTATCCTTATCTCTATCATTTTCCTCTTACTTATTCTCCTGTTCCTCAACATCATCATCATTATAATTGTTATTGTTCTCAGGATTATAATCATGATCACTGCTGGTATTAGCATCCCTTCAAAGGATAATAACAGTTATTATCATTACTATTACTATTGTTGTTATCATTATTAACATCATTATTACTATTATTATTATTATCATTATTATCATCATTACTATTGTTATTGATATTATTAGAATTATTATTATCATTATCATTACTATCATCAGCATAGATGTCTTAGTGAAGTAAAATCTTTAAAAATCCGAAGAATCCCTAAGTAGTATAACATGTACACTTTTACAGAGTGTTGTACCGACTCCGACAACAGCTAAAGCCTCTAGATCAGTGGCAGAGCATTTTTCAGCAGCTGTAAGTTTCCGGGAACAGCTGGGCACTACATGTAAGTTACCAACTCTATACTTTTGCGCGAAATAAGAACTTCGAGAGATTCCAGATGTGTCAGTATGTAAGTTCAACAACTCTGCAAAATTTGGCTGACTCAGTGCAAGGGCTATTGCTATATTTATTATTATTATTATTCAAATGATAGCCACAGTTTTCGTTATCTATTCTTTATAATTTCAAAGTAATTTGGTGATTTAGGCAGCTACAGAAGCATAGTAACACACAATTTCCCGTAGAATCCAATAGCGCATAAAATAACTAATTTGGATAAGGTGGTGTCAGCGATACATGCAAGGCCGGATGGTTACCTCTTTCGCACCTAGGCCCCGGTAGCTGCCCTCCCCCTTCAGCTGATGCAGGTGCTCACTTTACTTTCCCTCGTGACACTCTCCTAAGCAAGCAAAACGCCCTCGTAAGAAACAGCTGCATAAAAGGACGTCTCGCCAGGCAGACCCGGACAGAACAGGAGGAGAGCAGAGAGAGCCAGAGACAGACGACGGTCTCGCTCGTCACCGCTCCGCCCTCGGCACCCAGGGCACGGGTCTCTCGCGGGGTCAGACATCTATCTCCCCCAATAAATCCTCCGGCAAAGAGCCCCTTTCATTCACCTGCTCTACGCCCCCAACCTCTTCCGTTGACACGTGGGAGAAGAACGGTCCATCATCATTGGAAGAAAAGAGCTTTTTCAAAAGTGGATTCACCTTCATCATCGAGTAGTCTCGGTGGCAGAAGGATGGATAAAAGTTCGATTTCTTTCCAATTTCTAATGGTAGATAGTCACATAAAATACCCTTTCTGTGTTGCAGGTCAGCGGCAGAATCACTGTGACTAGACACGATTTGATGCGCCCAACTCAAACCATTCTTACGTTAAAGTGAGCCAACTCTGCAGGTCCTTGTGCTGTCCGCAATCCGTCCTGGTGTGAGGCAAGGTAAAAGGGCCTGCGATACCCTCAACTTTATTGTTCATGAAAAGCAATAGAACAACCTCTGAGAATGTGAATCAAAATGCAGGTAAAATAAGAGGAAAATTCAACATTTATTCTTGGTATTTTTTATTGGTATATAAAAGGGAAGTCTGAGATATATACAGGAAACGATATATACTGGTAGAGTAGGCCTACTCGGGAAGTGAGCTCATGTCAGTTCAGAATCAAACTAGCGTGACAACAGAATTTGCTGTCAACGACTTAACAGCTTGGTGGGCGCGGGCGTGGGCGGACTTGACCTGAGCCACGGCGAGCGTGTCCACGACGAGGTCAGAGGCGGCCACCCTGAAGCCAGAACCGGGGGCGGCGGCGTACTTCCTCACCTGGACGTCCCCCTCGGGGTCCACGTAGGCGAAGCTGCCGGAGGTACGACCAAAGAGTCCCTGTCTCCACGCGGGTGTTGGGGGCGCGCGTTGGGTAAGAGGTTGGCCAATGTGGCCCACCACCTGCGTCGAGGGACGAATTGGCCCCACGTGAGGACGCTGAGGAGGCATGGGGGTTCAGGGGCCATGAGGGGCTCAGGCGCTGCCCACTACAGTGACGGGACAGCGCTCTTGACCACAGGGGCGACTGCCACAGGGGCAGCAGGAGCCACAATGGCTGCACTCTTGACCAGCGGGGCAACAGGGGCCACAGCCACAGGGGCAGCTTCAACGACGGTAAGGGAAGGGGCGGCCTTCACAACAGGGACAGGGACAGGGGCGGCCTTCACAACGGGGACAGGGGCAGGGGCGCTTAATACCATTCCCAAGTTTACACCTGGTTCAGGAATCTTCATAACAGCCGGAAGGTTCCACTGTGGACTGGCCACAGTTCCTGCCACCGTCTGGTAAAGCTGCGGAGCCGCGGAGCATGTTGCTGCCAACAGAGATAGCACCTGTATCAAGAAAAATAAGTTAGTGCTTAAAAAACTAATCGCATTCCAACATTAGTATTCAACCAAACTAACATCCATTCCCCATTTAAAACCAGTGCAGTGGGAATACCTAAGCAAATACAATACAAATTAAGACCAAAGCAGTAAATACTAACGATCAGTTTCATCTTGGCGTAGTTGTGATGGCCGAGAGAGAGGGAGATCTGTGGTCAACGGACACGGTGCTTGGCCTTATATACCCGCTCACCTCCCTGACCACGCCCTGCTTTGCACCTTAACGGCTACACGAACTTTAGCATTTTGCCGAAAGATTCCGAGAGAAAAGGTTTAGGTGGTGAAGATTCTCAAATTTATATCAAGGCGTTTGTGGAAGGAAACAATCTTCTTTAGTTAAGGTTTGTAATGAATTTCGTATATCTTAATGTATTTCTAATATTTACATGGTATTTAGGACTAAAGTGCGCAACCTTAAAAGGGTATGAACTGAATATGCATTTCATGTACCTTTTCGTGTGCATTATTTACACTGCAAAACAGTATATGGAATTTAAAAACCACTTCAATTCAAATAATTTGTATATACAGACACACGCACACATACATATATTTTTATATGTATGTATGTAGATCTATACAAACACACACATGCATATATACATATATTATATATATATATATATATATATATATATATATATATATATATATATATAATATATTATATATATATTATATATATATATATATATATATATATATATATATATATATATTATATATTATATATCTATATAGTGGTGTATGTATATATATTCATGCATGTGTGTATATATATGTATATATATGTATATATATATATATGTATATATATACATATATATATATATATATATGTATATATATATATATATATATATATATATATATATATATATATATATATATATATGTATGTATGTATATTTATCACGTATTTTTGTTTGTTTTTTAAACCACTACAATATATCAAACAGCATTAAGTGATAAGATTCCATCTTTCTACTCAAACTGTGATTGTTCTTCGAATCTATCAAAATACTTTAGTTTCTTGTCTTCATGTGCAACGTTAATTGCAATTCATGCTGCGACATTTGCTCCCATGAGGTGCTATTCAAACTCGTTTTATCATATGCAATAAAAGCTTCAAATTGATGAATCGTTTTCATGTTTACATTATGTAGAAAAGGTACGAGAGAGAATGAATGTCTTTGCAATTTAAGAGATGGTATTTGATCGGTTTCGAGTATATCTTCGTCAGAAATGCATCTATTTCTGACGAAGATATATATTCGAAAGAAGTTAGGTACATTTCTTGTATTGCGATGATATTCATTCTCATTCATACTTTTTCTACAGGAAATTGATGTTTAACCCTAACTTAATTCGTGCGATACATTGTTATTATATTATAAACCCAATAACAACGCATTCGCAACCCAAATAGTAGATAGATTTGCTATATCGTGATAAGATTATATCCTTCATTCCATTCTATTTTCACATTTCCTCGCGCCATGAAACATGACAGTGGAATACGAACCTAAATCGAGATGATACAGCTATTACCTCGTATCATGTCATGAAATATGAGAGATGACACAGAGATGACACAGTTAATGAGAAATGACACAGTTAATGAGAGATGACACAGTTAATCACATGACACATGGCACTGCAGCAGTCATCAAAAAGCTCGTGATAGTGTTGACGGAAGCATCTGCACTCGTAGTCCCTGCAACGTCTCCCGCGTCTCTCTCGAAGGCCGGTCGGTCGCGACGGCAAAAACACAGGAGCCGCCGCAGGGTAAGGCGCGGCGGCCCTGGGATGGTCGTGGGTACCGGGGAATTTACTTTTTCTCTTTATTTTCCTTTTTATAAGGGGGAGGGGGGTGAAGAAGGGCCAACGTTAGCAACAAGGGGTAGCCTCTCCGGGTGAATCTGGATCGGATTCGGGTGGATCACCGAGTGAATCTTTCTGGGCTTCGTTGGGTGAATCTTTAGGGTGAGTCGCGACTGAACTTGAGTTGGAATCCGGGGCTAGTTTTTTGAGGATTTTTTTTTCTTTTTCTTTTAAGGACTAGGGTTCAATTAATCACTTGACGAATCGTGGCATTAACTTCACTTCTTTGCAGCATTTTGGTGTTTTTTT